GGGGGCACGGATGGAGGATGGAGGACCAAGGGTGAATGCAGTGAGGAGGATGGAGGGGCGACACGAATGAAAATGCAACTTTGGGAAAAAAAAAAAAAAAAGAGGACGAAGGGGATGGGAGAAAGGTGGAGCAGGGAGACAAGGTGGACGCTCAATGCAATTATCGAGTGAGGTGGAGGGAGGAACGGCAATGGAGGTGGGAGACGGGTGGTGGCAGAAGATGGGGCCGGATAGGGGGAGGAATTGACGAAGGAGGTAAGGTGGGAGGAGGGAGGCGTGGCGGAAGATGGGGGCAGAAATGGTGACTCGGCCGGAATATAATGATAAACAGGCGGGGAGGTCGAGGAGAAAGGTGGCGTGCGGAGGAGGGAGGGATGGCAGAACAAGGAGGGAGGGAGGAGCTGATAGGAGGGAGGATCAACGATGAGGACGGAGGAAGGAGGATGGATGATTGAGGAGGGAGAAAGTAGGTGATAGGAGGGAGGAAGGAGGATGGACTATGCAGGAGGGGGGAAGAGAGGATGGACGATGAGGGAAGAGAGGTAGGAGGAGATTGAGATTGTGGGAAGACACAGAGAGAGAGAGAGGGAGAAGGTGGGCTGGTGGTCACCCACCTGCTATGTCTTCCTCCTTGACTCCTGGCGTTCCTGTTGCTTGACGCTGCTGCTGCCTGCTGACACTGCCACCGCCTGCAATTGCTGCCGCTACCTGCTGCAACTCTCGCTTAAACTCCGGCCGGCTCCAGACTATGTCGTGAACTATGGAGAAGGACGACGGAGGCCAAGTCGGCGGCAGGACGGCAAAACAGTTGAGGAACAATGAGGACTGTTGACGGCGGGAAGAAACAGCCGTCACCAAGGTCGATAAGGGCCTTGCCAACTTCAAAACTCTTGACTTCGAACTTGGCTGGCTCTCCATTTTCGGGCCTTTGCGCAGCCTAAGGACAAATTTGCGCGCCCCTCAAAACATTTTTCGCAGCGCTGGGAAAGACGTTTCAGCCCCCCCCCCCCAACAACTTTTCCTTTTTTYTTTTTTTTGGGGGGGRGGGGGGGGGGGGGGGGCWTTTTAGGCCTTGCGTTGCACCGCGTACGCAACGCGCCGTGCGGAGCGTGTGCACAACCAGCGCGCATGTGGTGTGCTTTTGCTCTGATTTTTTTAATTGTATATGTAAGAGATATTGCTGTTGTATGCCATTTCATGAAATACCGTCATCCAAAAAGACTGCCACTCCAGGAAAGACTTCACGTTTCCAAGAAAAACTTCCTTTTCGAGAAAAGACTGCCTGGCACTAAGACCGCCTCTGCCATTCCAGGTAAGACTACCATTCCAGGAAAGGCTGCCATTTCAGGAAATAACATATTTACAGGAAACACTTCCGTTACAGGACGAACGATCCATAAACAGTAAATACCTTACCTTACAGAATCCCAATTTTTGTGCCAACCTGTCCTGCAGTTTTTTTCTTTGTTAAACTAAGCAAAACATTTTTCTCTCAATTTCACCTTTCACTACCTACCTACCGCTTTTTGCTTCTGTTTCGGTGAAAATAAATGATGGATTTTGACGTACCTAGTAAGAAACGAACCATTCTGAGAAACCATAACAAATATCAACAATTCTCTCTTGGTGTGCAGCAACCTTCTAAAACTGCCCCAAGGGGCCCCAAACTAGTTTCGCAGCGTCTGAAACAGAACTCCGCGGTACAGACAGGCTTACACGTTGAAGCTTCACCAAAAAAATCCCAACATCATATTCAGTTTGCCAACCCCAAATACCCAAACGACACTGAAAGCTTCAACAAAAATTCCAGCGAACGTCTGTGGCTTTCGGTGAAATTGATGCACGCTGTATGACAACAAGTTCACAGCAAATTGCATAAGCAGCTGCAAAAGTAGCCCAGGCTCAACTGGGCCCTTAAACCCCACAAATACACTGCCCCAGCCTTGAAGTCCGAAACTTGTTGCCACAAGAAAACGAAGCCGAAACATCAAACGTTGGGCCTGCCGTTGATAGGTTCGATCGGCAGTCGCGTTTTCGTTTCATGCCCCTCCAGAATTTGAGGTGTCAGGCCCGCGTCCTAGGTGCCCACGTACTGGTGCTTTAAACCGTCAGTACACGGTCGCAGCCTTGCTAAAAGAAACTGGTTGCCTGGTCCGAAAAGTTTGGGCCCGGCACGCCGTCGATAAAAAAACATCGGCGGTCGGCGTTGCGTTTCGGCCTCCAAAAGGGCCCCGTGGCCGATGTATGGCGTGTACCGGGCGGTTTAAACCCCCACTACTACCAATCGCGTCTGCCCTGTAAACAATTCTCTCTTGGTGTGCTGCAACCTTCTAAAGCTGCCCCAGGGCGCCCCAAACTAGTTTCGCAGCGTCTGAAACAGAACTGGCGTTGCGTTTCGGCCTCCGAAAGGGGCTCATGGCCGATGTATGGCGTGTACCGGGCGGTTTAACCCCGACTACTACCAATCACGTCTGCCCTGGTTATTCGGAGGCCCGCCCTGTTTTCAGATAGTCCGTTGAATTGACAATCTGACAACCACCATTTTTCTTCTCCGTATTAGGCTGGAAAAATAGCTTGCAATACGTTCATGTTGAAACTGGGTTGTGTTCAAGGAAAGAACATGGCAATAAAATGCATGCTCATTATGCATCAGGCCAGAAAGATAGGTTGTATACATTCACCTTGAGCGGGTGTCACTGTGTTGTGTTTGGAGGAAGAAGATAGCTTAGGTACCAAGTAACTACAAGCATTCAGCGAATTCGATGACGAATTCAGCAACGAAGGTAGGACACTCCGTCGATTCCAAACAACAGCATAAATATGAATTTCCGATTTCTATTATTATTTTATTTATCAAATGCTGAAAATAGCTACCATGCACACAAATTGACAAGGGTAACCCTGCTTTGGGTGCACACTGAACAGCCAAGATATATTATATAGGGGTTCAGCCTCCTGATCAGTCGGTGAAACTCCGACAAAACAGTTCGTCACAGCCCCTCCTCGTTAGTTGTCCTCTTCTCCCTCCCTCTCTGCCTACGGTTTACGAGGCAGCTCTGTTCGACAATATATATATTACAGTGTAATCAGTGAGGGGATTCTGCAGACTGTTGAGGGTTCAGCCTCCTGATGAGTCGGTGAAACTCCGACGAAACAGTTTGTCACAGCCCCTCGTTTGTTGTCCTCTTCTCCCTCTCTGCCTACGGTTTACCGGGCAGTTCTATTTGACGATATATATATGTATATATATAACCATGTCCCACTTACCACTTGGCTGCTTTGGCTTCAAGATCTTCCGCATGTCGTATGCGTCCTCACTATCAGCATAATACTTCGCTTCAATGTCATTTATTCTGATCGAAGACAACAATTGAACCAGGCCACATAGAAAAACGGGCAAAAAAGAGGCCCCGGGGTGAGAAGGGGGGGGAGGGATTAACAAAGAAAAGATATGCATCAGTCTTCCGGTGCCAAAAGCGCCCGTTATCACTCCTTGAAGACAGCCCTCTCTCTCTCCTAGGGATCTTTATCCCTCAGGTGCTGAACTCAATCCTTTGCGCCAGGCCTCGCTCGCGCTATGTTCATGCTAACAAAGCATGGACATGACCACGGCTTCCAACCAGGTTCGTGCTTTCCGAGCATAAACAAAACACTACTCGGGCCTGGCCCTTTTTTTCTCCATGGTAACGACCCACTCTCCCAGATGAACACATCGCATCCGGGATTAACAAAAAATAGATATGCATCATATGCATCAGTTTTCCAGTACCAAAAGCACCCATTATCACTCCTTGAAGACAGAACTCTCTCTCTCCTAAGGATCTTTATCCCTCAGGTGCTTAACTCAAACCTTTCGCCAGGCCTTGCTGGTGCTATGTTCATGCTAACAAAGCATGGACATTAATATTTTCAAAAGCGGGTAGCCCCTAACCTGTTGCAGCTTTGCTTGCAAAAAACAAATACGACAGGTGATGCAGTAATGGTGGAGGCAACCGACCAATGCAAACTCTCTCTCTCTCTCTCTCTCTCTCTCTCTCTCTCTCTCTCTCTCACCCACCCACACAGAAACACCCAAAAAAAAAAAAAAAAACACAAACAAACAACGGAAAAAAAAAGAACAGGAAACAAAGAAAATGATTACCCTGAGCAGTGCGCAATTTACACCCCCCCCCCAAAAAAAAAACACTTCTCCTTACACTCCTCTATCCAGACACCGGTGCAAAGACACTGTGTCCAGATTAATATTTTCAAAAGTGGGTAGCCCCTAACGTTGTTATATTTACTACTAGATGACCTGTTGCGGCTTTGCTAGCAAAAACAAATATGACAGGTAATGCATTGATGGTGGACGCAACCGACCAATGCACTCGCATGATCATATGGATCAGCATTTCTAGTAATTTTAAATTTTCTACTTTCCTTCCCTTAAACCTGCGCCACTAAACCACCGCGCCATTTTCATGACCGACCTCTGAAATGGGCCGATTGCTGTGCGGATGGAAGAAAAACTGTGCCTGCCAGACCGGCAATCCGAATTACCAACTGAAAACAGAAGACCTCTCCTTCCCTAGAAACCGGGGCAGTCGCAAAAAGGGAGTGATGGCTTGAGAGTCAGCACTGCTGAACACTCAACTGCTGGAGTCCTAACAGCATTCGGCCGCATGGTGGTGTTTAGTGCACCGCGAATCTCGCAGTCTAGCAGGCACTCATATGTTAGCGAAACTATCATTCAATCATTTCACCGCATCCTCCTCTTCTTTTTTTTTTTTTTTTTTAAAGGCTACCTCAGCCTACCTGTCGAATCTGGACAGGATGGCCTTTCAGGCCTTTTTCATTGTCGTAATAGTCTGTACACTGTACAGTCTGTACTTTATCGGCCTCGGAGCTCCTCCGTGCATTCACGGATTCGAACAGCGACCTCAGCCTCAACAAGCGAGGAGTTTTCAAACCACTACAGCGATGGCATGGTGTACAAAAGTGGAGCCATGCCGGTCGTGATATCCACTCCACCCCTGCATGGCTGTAGTGTCCTGCAACTCACACCCACACACGCACAACACCATACTCAGGCACAGCATTATGGGGAACCCCGTAGCATCCACATCTGTGTTCAAGCCTCCAATAAGGGAACATGCGGGATTTGCACCCACTAGCAGGAGCGATACCTGCTACAGCAGGTGGGCGATACCGACCAGGGGTCGGCCGGTGGCATCAGGACCGAGCTCCTTCGATGGAGCTCCAGTCACTGAGCCTCCCCTCCAGTCCCCTACCCTTACAAGCATCAGCAGTCTCTGCTCAATGCCGCTCAGGAGGACCAATGGCCTATGTCTAGGGGGCGGGCGCCAAGCTTGCCCAGGAAGGTACATGTGGCCAATGGGGATTGAACCCAAGACCTCCCGAGTGCCACTTGCATGCCTTAGCAACTGAACTGGCACACTCCAGGATATTCACAGAGTTGCAATTACTTTGAGATTTTGAATACTTCACCAAAAAATACTCGAGATTTGATATATAACCTTTCGGCACATTGCATCAAAACTATTCTAGCATTTTTCTATTTTCTTTCATCCCTTGGCCTATTAGAGAACTCCATTCCGCAAAGCAATTGATACACAAGCTACCAAGACAGGCAGACCAAGCTACAGAGGGAAAAAAAAAAAAAAAAAAAAAGATCGACAGCGAAGTTCACTCTTACAATAAGAATGCCAAAGGGAAAAGATAATCATCAAACGTAAAAACCTATTGCAAAAGTAAAATCCAATTACATAATTTCAAAACAAAAGGTTCGAAGAAAAGTGAACCTTACCTGTAACCCAGAGTTTCAGTGTACAGATGAAAAGCTGCCCGATTGCTCTTCCTCACATGGAGGGAGACGTACTCCGCACCGAAAACTTCAACCATAGCACGCTCTGGGTTCAACGCGGTAAAAATCTCAAGTCAAGGAGAAAAGCGGGGTTAACTTTTCAAGTAGTATGTGCTTTTCAAGTTCTAAAACACAGGGAAAAAAAAAGACAACATTAAAAAGAAAGTCATTCTCCGCAGCAAGATCATACACTGCGCATCCCATCCGCTTGCCATGACCAGGTACGCAGTTCCTGGCAGTTCAGGGCGGAAATACTTCGGCGAAAAGTAGACCCTCAAATGTAATGGAGCTTTACCCCCCCCCAGCGCACATCCCCCACCATCTCTACAACCCTTAAAGCACCAGTACACCACATATCGGCCCGCGGGTGACAGCACGAAAACCGCACCACTGCGGAGGGCGCCGATTTTTTTTTTCAACGGCGGGCGGGCCTGGCCGCACGGCGCCTCCGAGTTTTGCTTCTGGCGACAAAAACTTCCTGCAAGGCTGGGGCCGTGTACTAGCGGTTTAACGCACGACACACCACAGACCACTCCTTCACACCGCACAAGGCACACCGCTGAGAACCGTCTGCCTCTGTCATTCATCCGCCGCCCCCCTAGGCATTCCCTCCAGTAACCTCAAACACTGACAGCACTCCCATGCTTCTAGAGATTTCTGTGAGCGCCCTTGGCACACAACCAGCAACCCATGACCCCCATCGACACACCCGGCACCCATAAAACAACCTCAACCCCAGAATTCTCACAAACACTGACCGAAATCAAGTTCTCTCTCTCTCTCTCTCTCTCCCTCCCTTTTAGTGCACGCTTAAGAGGATACGTGCTGCACTCATCAGCTTCGTTGCAAGTCCCAGCTTCCTATGAGTCCTTAGCACTGCCAGTGATGTGATGTGCCCATGACAGTCTGTTGACTCTTCCTCCCTGTTCACACAAGATACAGCAGCAGCAACCAGAACCCAAGTGCACCACGGAAACCTGTCACAATTCAAAATGTCTTCTGCACACAAGCACCGCCTCATCGCATAGTGATTGAAACTCTATGATGAGAACGGCAAAAGAAAACGACAGCCTCCTCCATTCTTACCGCTTCATCCGCTAATCGCCAATAATCACCAGTGGCTATGAGTTCTCCGGTTCGAGAAAAAACAAGGATGCTTAGCCACCTTTTTTTTTCCACTGGACATTGCAGAGTTGAGTAGAGCACAACAAAGCGGGAGGCCAAGTGTCAATACGAGGGAGATAAAAGGCAAGAGACAAGGAAGAGAAGGAATTGAGTGGATGGGAGAAACACTGTTCTGAGTGACAGCCATAGCAAAGACCCTGACACGTTCAGTAACTTGAGAAGAGAGCATGAAGCACGAAAGGAAGAGAAGAGCGGACATATTCCCCTGCATGCTGACGAAGGCAAAGCAGAGGGAAGAGGAGGAGTAGAGAATAGAAAGAAGAGACGGGAGAGGAAGAGGACAGAAGAGATGGGAGAGGAAGAGGAGAGAAGAGATGGGTGAGGAAGAGGAGAACAAAGGGAAGATGAGGAGGATGAGAAGGAGAAGAAGAGACGGGGAGAAGAACAAGGGAGGAGGAGAAAAAGAGAGAAAGAAACAAGCAAGGGCGAGAAGGATAAAAGGAGAAGAGGACGGGGAGGAGAGGGAGGGGGAGACGGGAAGATGGCCAAGACGGGGAGGAGGGCGAGGAGAGGGAGGAGAGGAGGACGGCGAAGACGAGGCGGATTGGAACAACGAAGAGAACGGGAGAACGGAGGAAACAGAAGAGGAAGAAGGAGATAAAGGAAGCGAGGAAGAGGAGACGTGGAGAGGATGAGAGGAGGAAGAGAAGGAAGGGAAGGCGAGGAGGACGAGAAGGAGAAGGCGAGAGGACGACGGCGAGAACAAGGGAAGACGAGAATGATGGAGGACGGAGAACGAAGGAGTGGGGACGAGAAGACAGATGATTAGGAGAGAGGATAAGGAGGAGGCATAGGAGGAGGAGGAGATGGAGAGAGGAGGCGGCAGAGGAGGATCAGAAAGAGAGAGGAAGTGGAGATGGTGAGAAGGAGAGGGAAAAGACATTGCCCTTCACTCACATTTTTGCAAGGACATAACCAACGATCTTCTTGTTATAATCCTCTGCGACATAAAGCAGTTGTGGCCATGATAGAATGTGGTACAAATAGTACTGTACTCACAACCAATCATCCAAATGGAGAAGGCAGATGCATTAGTAACGAATTTTTTGTGACTTCAACAGGCTGACAAAGCTCTAAAATTGTTGAGGCTTAAGGCACCACTACCTTTCACAGGCAAACGCAAAGTCCATCGAGTAGCCTACTCCTGAAAACACGGGGGCTCGGGGCAGGGTTTGAGGCCAACGAAACAAAAATGAAAAAAAAGAAGAGAAAAAAAAAAGAGGAGTTTTGGATCCAGGGACGTTGGGGAAGGCCCTCACGAGGGTGGAAATTACACCAGTGCTTTGAGGAATGTATCCGGCCACTATGTGGGGAACTAGGTTGCTGTTGGTTTTCTGTTGTTTTTTTTTTGTTTTGTTTTCATGTCGTTGTAGTGCCCTGCCAGCCAGGCAGAGTGTATTTCACGCGTGGCTCGTAACTGTGTCAATGCTGTCGCATCCTGTATCCGACCTCAATCACAGCATAAGGGAGCTTTTCTTTTTTTTTTCTTTTTTTTTCTTTTTTTTTTTTGGGGGGGGGGGGGGGGGGTGGTTTCGTTGTTTATCCGCCACACGCCGTCACTGACGGCACAGTCACACAAGCACCTCATAGAATGTATATGGTGGTTATCGAGGCGTTCGGGAAGTTTCTTTTTTTCCTTTTTCGTCTTTTTTTTTTGGTCCTTGTTCCTTCTTGGATGAAACTGCCTCCGCTCGGCAAAACTCCATGCGCGGTGAAAATCAGGCTCGGCAAAAACAGGATCGGAGGTAGCAGTGGTTTAATGATACTACTGTGCTATTCGCAGAAAACTTAGTCTCTGCTTTCACACAAGTATGTCTGTCTGTACAATACACTCACATGTTCATTTGAACCTTCACACAGGTACCTGGAGCAATTCGATTCAAGCATCACAAACAGAAATAGTACGATGTGCCGAAAGGCGATAGCTGTTGCGAGCAGAGTTTTTTTAAGTGAGAGGGGTTTTTTCAAACAAGCCGAAGGTAAGTCGAAAACCGTTAAGGCATTTTTTTTGTCGAGACCAGAGTCATAAACCGTCACCATCAGCTTGTCTAAGAAACATGCCCACTTCAGTGAGAGTGACAGCGAGGCATTCGTTTCAAAAGTCGAACATGTGAAGAATCCATCGAACGTTTTTTGAAAGACTTTCTAAGAAACCACAACTCGAACATGTGAAGAATCCATCAAACGTTTTTGAAACGCCTTCTAAGAAACCATGATGAGCAGATTTTACGCATGCAAGAGAAGGATAATGAGAACAGGATATGAAGCGGATGAAGTGGGAGGTGGGAGAGAGGGAGAGACAACAAATCAGCATCGCAACCGACTCGGAGGCCACTGCCTCCAGGGCAATATGTCACCCTGCTAAGTGTTCTGTTTCCAGCAGGAGTCGACAACCGGACAATAGACACACAGAAAACGAAAAAGGAAAACTCCGAACTCACATGAAGATGTTGTTCAAACCGGCAAAAAAGAAAACATCGTTACTCCAGCTGGCCGTTAAAAGTTAAAACCCCTCTTTTTCTTCCCCTTGTCCCCTACCTACCTACCCACACCCCCTTTTTCTCTTATTACAAGGGAAGCACTGAGAAATTACCTTCATTTGATAATTTTCTGGTAAACACATGAGATTACAACTCTGCATGGCCAACAAATCGTCAACCTGCACGTAACCAAAGCAGAATTGGAAGAGAAAAATTGAAAAGAAAAGAAAAAAACACACAACGGGTTAACCTTGGTCAGAAGAGCAACATTCGAACAGACATCCACTCTCCGCCTTTGTGTACGAGCAGTGCATGCCATGTGCACTCAGTCCGATACTTGCAAGCACACACCACGTGCGCATTTGCGTCCGTGCGGTGCACAGCCGCACTGCACATGCGTGCACCAACAGAAATCCACAAGAAACCAAAAACAAATTGCAAAACAAACCAAAAGAAGGTGATGTAATACCTTATCTTGAGCAACCCCTTAATTTAAAAAAAAAAGAAAAAAAAAAAACGCAAAGGAAAAGAAATACACAGGAAACTAAGCCCAGAATAATGTGTATCGAGCAGGGGGAAATTTCAAACTGAGTCCTCCGGGACATCACGCCTGTTGAAATTGGAACTATACAGGAACTCCTCCGGGACATCACAGCTGTTGAAATTGGAACCACACACAGGGAAAGATTAATTAGCATGTCCCCTCCGCAAGCATAAATCAAGAAATGGTTCCCAAAAAAAACAAAACAAAAAGTTCGCGAAGTCATGCATCTACTCCCGGGCTGAATGATAGGTTACATAGGTATTAGAACCAGGGTTACCGGCGTTCGGGACGGGCCGAACCCGAACGCCCGAACGTACGGGACCCCTTCGGGAGGCGTTCGGCCGTTCGGGCCGAACGCGGACCCAAAAAAAAAAAAAAAAAAAAAAGGGTTTCAAAAAATTCCGAAAAAAAACTATGTTATGGAGAAACATAAACTAAACAACATTTGTCTGGGCACTACATCCAAATTCTTTACCAAATTTGAATTAAAAATCCAATACATAAAATAAACACTATGATAAAAATAAGAAAAAATAAAGGGAAAATTTTTGAAATGCCCCTAAAGTTTGCATTTATTTGCGATTTGCCCCTCCGACAACCGACTTACCCTGATTTGCCCCTCCGACAACGATTCAAGTTTCCAAAAAAAACCTGGCGTCAATTGGGCATGAAATATGTTCCATATGCCCCTACCGGTACCAGTGCCAAATTTCCAGTATGCCCCTACCGGAGAGCCGATGGGTACCAGTGCCAGATTTCCATGCTATGTCAAGCCAACTCCTACCGTCTATAATGGTATGTTCACGGCTGTACATTACCCTCCTACCTCCACATCTTTCACACACACACACACACAGAGAGAGAGAGAGAGAGGGCAGCAGTACAAAGGAGCTGAAGGGGGAAGAGGAGGGGGAGCTGGAAGAAGACGATGTGGTGGTGGCGGTAACTCCGACAGTTTCAAGGATGTGGTTCGTTCGTCGTGGCGGGGCGTTAATGGGGCGAGCAGCCAATGGCACGACTTTGTGCATGCATGGACAAGTGTACAGGTGTAGAGGTGCCGAGAGCGACAGAGGTGAGCAGTGCGGCAAGACAAGAGCAACAGAGAGAGAGAGAGAGAGAGAGAGAGAGAGAGAGAGAAGGATAGAAT